GCCCGTCTTCACGCTCGTGGACCGTTATGATCTTTCCCCGGAGTCGGGTATTACAGACTATCCGGTGTCCCCTGAGTTCTTCTCGACTCCCAAGAGCAAGTCTGATGTGAGCACCTCCTTTGCCGGGAAAAGCAAGTAGCAGGCGAGTTCGAGCTGGTGGTCGCCGGCCAAGAGTGGCGGCAGTAATGGCGGAGGCATCACGGAGCAGGAGGATGATAAGGGTAGGGGTTCGCCTGTTGAAGGGGTGGTGCAGCCCGGTGCCTTGATTATGCTGCCGCCGGCTAGTGAAGTAGCAAGGCCGGATGTAATGCCCCGTTTTATTTTATTAAATTATAGCGTTTTATCGCTCGACTAACTTAGAATCTCGTTTGTGCCTTGTATGCCGAGTAATTTATTTATGCTTAATTGTGGATTTATATCGCTTAATTGAATTATTATCTTAAGTAAATTATGTGATTATGTGAATTATTTTTCTTAATTGAATTATGTGCTCTCTTAATTGAATTATGTGATTATGTGAATTATTATCTTAAGTGAATTATGTGATTATTTGAATTATTTTTCTTAAGTGAAGTTATGTGATTATGAGATTTATTTTTCTAAGTGATTATGAACTTTATGATTATTTGTCTAAGTGACTAATTGACTATTTGCTTAAGTGATTAATTGACTATGTGTTCAAGTGATTATTTGATTATGTGCCTAAGTGATTTATTTGAGTATGTGCTTAAGTGATCTTTTTAATGGTCTAAATGAATGTTAATTTAATTGCTTATGTGTTCAATTTTTATTTTATACCTAAGTGTCTAATTTTATTATGTGCTATTTTGTTTATTTGCTTAATTACTTGTATATATGTAAATATGATTGTGGCCCTTAATGCTTTAGACTTTGAGTCCAAGCACTACTTAGGAATCTCGACCCAATACAATGAATTTCTACTTCTTTGAGTTTGGCCCAATCATTTTTCATTAGTAGCAGCCCATATACTTCTCAATGACTCGGTCGCTCTCTCGCTCTCTTCTTTCTCGATCTGCGCCGAGCCTATCTCAACAGCCTCCACGATTTCCGGCCAACTCACCCACGATTCTCCCACCATTTCAGCCACCTCAAGCGAGCCCTAATTCTCCGTATTTAAGCATCCAAGTATCAGCCGCCCCTCAATGATCCCAACTCTCAGAAAAATTTTCAAATCGCCCAAATCTTTTTCCCAGCCTTTCTCCTCGGTCAGCATCTGTTTCCGGCACAAATACGAGCGGCGACCCTCGACCTCCGACAGGGCTGTAATCTTCGCGAGCTTCACCCTTCGACGACGAGAATGCCTTGTTGACTAGTTGTCGTCGATCGAGGAAGTTCCCGAGACCCGGCCTTTCACATCGACGCGAGGTAGACAACCACAACGACCGAAGGAACTCCAATTTCACGGTGGCTGACGAACACTCCGAGTATCCCCAAAAGTCGAGCATCAATTTCCGGCGAGAAGACCAGCAGATGCCGGCGATCACGAGCCAACTTTTCATGGCAGCCAGGTCAGTAAGTTGAAAGTGCCGAGACCCTTTGGGCCCTGATCAGTAGCACCCCTTCAGCGAGAACTCGAGCGTCGGGCAGCAGGACCTGAAATCGGGAACCGTCGAAACCGAGCCCTTTCTTTCCTTGATTTCACGGTATTTTTAGCTGAGCCTCTATTCCTTTTTGATCGAGCTTTATGTGAACTTTATATTTGTTTAGCTTTAGTTTCAAGTTAGGAGTGAAAGTATGATCAGATTGTTTTTTTTAGTTTGAGCATGAGGAATGTATGATTGTGCCTTGATATGTATAGTTTCGGCTGAACCCCTTAAGCCTTGCAGTTGGCCGAGTTGTTGTGTGCTGTTAAGTTCAGTTTATTGAAGATGATAAGAGTATGCTCGATTTATATGTCTAAGTTGTCTCAATTTTGTTGTTATGGGCTTGTTTTGTAGTAGTTATGTTGAGCTGATCCTTGTTTTTTACCTGATGCTGAGCTCCGTTTATTATTGTTTTCATGCTGAAATTGTGAGATTTATTGTTAAGTGGCAGTCCAAATGAAGTGACAAGTATGCCTAAGTTATAGAAGGAAAAGAGCTTGTTCATGTTTTGTCCAAGCCTTGTGTTGTGAATGATATTGTGGCTATTCTGTTTGATATATTGTGTTGATTATGTGCTGTTTTAGTGCCAGTTATTTGTTAATTATCAGAGTTAAAGTTTCAGTTTCTTTTTTTTTTTTTTTTTTTTTGAGTGTTTGATTGGGATGCTAAGAAAGAAAAGAAAAGAGAGCACATTTTGCTTTATTTTCCTTGGCCTTAGTTTAAGTGTCTCTTTAGCGAACCCCAGCCGTAACCGGGTCAACTTAAGCGGTTAGGGCAAGCGAACCAGGTCTGACCGGGCACGGACCGGTGGGTTCGATCCAGTTAAGTTGAGCATTCAATAGTAGTTTTTTTTTTTTTTTTATTTATTTGCTTAGTGTGAATTATCTGTTTTATGTGTCCTTAATTGTGCTTACATGCTTTATTTTCTTGTTTGCCAACATTTTTGATAATAAGGTAAATTATTCTAAACTGTAGATTAAGAGGAGTCGATTCCTCATTCAGCCGCACGTGCTTTGAACCAGTTCAGTCAGTAAGTAAGCAATCCAGGTGGGGGTTCTATACTATGGTTTATTCTTTATAAACATGTGGTAGTATAGTTTTTATATGCATGTGA